TGGAATTAAATTGTTAACTTCTACTCCTTACTATGCTCAGGCAAATGGCCAAGTCGAAGCTGCCAATAAAGTAATAATTAGCCTAATTAAGAAGCAAGTAGGAAAGAAGCCAATGAATTGGCATAAAACACTAGATCAAGTCTTATTGGCATGTAGAATTTCCCCTAAGGAAGCAACAAGAACTACTCCATTTCGACTTGCATATGGGCATGATGCAATATTACCAGTGGAGATACATGTTCAATCAATAAGAATCCAAAGACAGCATGAAATACCATCTGAGGATTACTGGAATATGATGGCAGACGAGCTTGTCGACTTAGATGAAGAAAAGATGTTGGCCCTTGATTCGTTAATAATAAAGAGTTGCCAGAGCTTATAATAAAAAAGTAAAAGATAAAGTATTTGCTGTCGACGATTTAGTATGGAAAGTAATATTACCTATGGATAAAAATGATAGAGTCTTAGGGAAATGGTCCCCAAATTAGGAAGGGCCTTTTAAGGTGATGCAAGTTTTTTCAAATAATGCCTATGAACTTGAGGAGTTATCCCCAGATCGGCGGATCTTAAGGGTAAATGGTAAGTACTTAAAAAAGTATAAGCCCATTCTTCAAGATGTCTGAATTTCGACAGAATGAATATTTGTCGAATCAATAAGCTGGTAAAATTGTGTTCGAAACCAACAAATTCAAAACATGCATAAAATGTGTACAATAAAGGAAGATATATATAATAAAGATAAAGAAAGGTTCCATTAGAATTTGGATTAAAGCCATAAAGAAATCACAAGATCATTGATAAAATGATTTAAAGTGTTTAAATCTGTTTTGGAATGACCGCAGTTCACCATGGAGGTTTACGGCCTGATATTCAAAATCTTCTGCTTGAGTCCTAAGTGTTTCAAGCTCCATTTTGACAGAAGAAATTGCTTCACTTACGGCCGCAGCATCCATGACTATTTGGCCAGGCTTTGCTTGAGCTGGATTAATAACGTTATTAATCTTTCCTCTTGCTTGGCAATCGATTCTAATTTCTTGTTGAGAGCAGAAATATGGTCACGTACTTCAACAGCTCTTTTCTGTTTGGGACCCAGTTCCTGTTTTTTCTTTCCAATCATTGCTAATAAATCAGTGGTTTCTTCAGTGGCTTGTACCACCATATCCAAATTCTCTTTCACAAAAGCTTTCTTCGACTCGACCGCTTCCTCATTTTCCCTAATAATTTCTCAGAAGTGTTGAGCTCTTTCATTTAAGTGAGAGCGTCTGAAAGTTATGGGCCAAGAGTTGGATCAGAATGAAGCAGATGAGGCAAATCAGGATTCAAAGCATGAGTCTGAATTTTAGTCATTAGATTTTTGGCTTTGATTGCTTTAGGACTTATCTTGTCATTGTGTGCTTGAGATTGGTTAGAGTCAGAAGAAAGAGTGCGAAAACTCACGAAGCGACACAACCTAGCAATTGCTTCTAGAGCAGAAGGCTTGACTCCCATGTGCTTTGGTGTAGTAGGTGAGTCGACCTTTTCTTTCTCAGAAGAAGTGAGAGGCATGTCTTGTGTGCCTTCATGAGGGGGCAGGATTTGGGAGGTGGTAACATTTTTATTTGCTTCTGAACCCTGCAGGGAATCTGAGAGGCTAGAGTCAAAGCTAGTCGAACTATAACCCTTATGTTTGGTAGGACTAGTGACTGAGTTAGAGTCACTAAGAGTAGCCAGAATAGTCAGGTCAATAAACTCACCATCAGCAATGTCGGGATTCTCATGATGATGACAGAAAGAAGCTTCCGACAAAGGAGTATAGTCAGGCACACTTAGTTGTTGGCCAGAGACATTAACCTAAAGAAGCGAAGAAAAGTAGAAAAATGAGAAATAAGGGTATTTATAGGCTCTGAAAGGAAGGAAGAAATAATGGGGTAAATCTTTGTGATTTCCTAAGTTTAAATCATGTCATTTGAGGGACACGTGTTGCAAAATCAACGTGAGTTAATGGGCTACATCTCCCACTAAAAGTGCAATGATGGAAAAAATTAAATGTCACACGTCTTGAAGCTGAAAAGCGTGATACGTTCCCATAATTACATGACGTCATGAAAAAGGCGGAACAGTAACGTTCACTTTTGGAGGGATGAAAACAGTTTGGTCAAATGGTAAAACCCGCGCTTCAAAGATGCCATTATCTCATATGAGTCGAAATTCAAAAATGGCATCTTTGGGGGGCATTTTGTTACCTTGAAAAATCTTAAGGTATTCAAGCACGTGTATTAAATGAGAATATTCTCATAAGCTAAGGGCCATCCTCTAAAGTAGGAGATTTTGGGAAATTGGAGCCAAAGTGTTTGAAATTTTGATTTTATTAAACTAGATTTAATGTTTAAAGGGAATGTCACGCCAAACTGTCGAAACTGAGCCAGGTCGACCAAAAGGAAATAAAAGAATATATGTTAAGAAATGGTCGAAATTGGTTTAGTCGACCAAAGGGTGAAAGACAAGGAAAATGGTCAAAATTGGTTTTTGTCAATCAAAAGGGTTTCTGGACTAGAGGAATTGTTGTTGATTTTTAAATCTTGCCAAAGGGAAAGTGCCTAAGCGAGTCATAAGCGGTTTACTTTCAGAAGCTAGGAGTGAGAAGATTTAAATTTCAAAGTCATCAGCAGATGCCAGCGGTTTATAATTTGTTTAAGCGCCAAATAGGCGGCGACATCCAGTGAAGCGGTTGTCTCAAGATTTTAATATTGTCCGTAGATTTCATCTAGGCAGTTACATTGTAAATATTACAAATAAGAAGATTTAGTGTAGTTTTTTGGTGTTCACTTGTATGCTCAAATCACTTGTCAAAACTTTGTCATTCCGAGCGTTAGGAAACAAAGAGTGAAGAAGTGCTTGATGTACATGAATCACCACTTTTATTTCAATGCAAATCCTTTATTTTTCAATTATCTCTTTTGAATATTTTATTTGCTTTCTATGTACTGTCGAACAAAGTCTTTACGTTATTTTCTACTTCGCGTAAACAATTCAATGCTCTCTGTCAGTAACGAGTCACTAGTCAGTTAGTTTATTGAATCTTATTTTCATATGAATACCTTTTGTCGGTCACGAGTCACCAGTCAGTCGATCGATTCACAGTGTGGAAAGCCGTTATACTTGTTCCCTTAGTCACATAAAACCATTTCCCTTGATAAGGATTTTGATAGAATAAGTATAATAATAAAACTCTTAGCACATGTCTTAAGATCAACTTGTCGATCTTGCGAGTTACCCTTAGTTTTAGGACTTTGGGAGGACCAACGATTGTTTACCATTTTCCACAGTAAACAGGTGTCACACTCTATCATGACACCAAATGCTCAGGAAGACCTTAATCAGGAGGTACTTGACCATGTCGAGGACGTGTCCGTAGTCTGTTGGCGTATTGTGGAGATGGGGAGATCAGGCATAGAGGCATGAATTTGTTTAGGAAAGCATTCCCTATTTGATCCTCGTACAAGCGGAAGAGAAGGCGGAGGAGTTAGACTTATCCAGTTAATCTTTTTTTGTTATATGATTTTGTAATTTCTGAACAACTTATAGATGGTCGGTACATTTTGATAATTGTATGACTTTTTCGTAATTGTATACTATGTTTGAATCAATTAATGTATGTGTTTCCCTTCTAATTCATGACCTAAAATGACCTAAAATATACTAGCCTGAATGACCTAAAATATGTTGGTGTAAAAAAATATCAAATTTAGTGGATAAAAATACCACAATTAAATACGAAAGATATTTTAGAAATACATCTCCGGTGCGGACTATATTTTATTCAAAATTAGGTGGATATCCGAAAGGTGAAGATATGTGTGAATTTAGGTGTGTCTGGAGATAGATCTCTAGACGCGGCACTAAAGAAAATTTTGGAATTCCAAAGGTGTGGTGTGGGTGCACCCTTAAGAGTCAAAAGAGCATTTTCTTAATTTTAACTACTGAAATCCAACAAATTCTTAATAGGCCCAAAACCCAATTAACAAACAGACCCAATAAGCAAAACAATGAAGTCTAACTCGTGAACTAGAAAACTAGACCAGAGCTCCAACCATTAGAACCGCTCGTCGAACCACTATCATGGCACTGGCCGCTGCATTAGCGCCGATTTGTCCTCCTCACCGCACCATTGCATCGGCTCCGCCGCCAACCTCCCTTTGCACCGGCTGCACCACAAGCCTCACTCTGCACCAGCTTATCGACTTCCTGCCTGCTTTTACATTTTTCTAGATTTTACAATCTAGAAATTTTTTTTTCCTTCAGCACTTAGGATTTAAGATATCTATCAACAAACAGGTTTGTAATTTTTAACTGGCATAACTGCATTAAATTTTGTACAAGTTTTGCTATTGTACATTATTAATCACTAAAAACTCAAACTAATATTATAAGCCATTTTTACTGTCTAAAATAGTAAAAAGCTTAAATGTAAAAAAAATAAAAATTGAAAGACAAATGCAGTATCAACTAGGATTTCAAAATCATCTGTGAATATATCATGCAGAGCCTTATTATATGACTTAATGGAGCATCTTCAAAGTTCAAAAGCAGACACCCTAATTATTTAATTTTACTGACAATATTATATGACCATGGTATTAGTGGAATATCCTTGTCCTATTAGTGACCCTCTGAAAAGTACTTTTGCACTTGATTACTTCCACTTGATTATCCTTGTGTAACAGCTCCTGCTTGTAGCTTAGTAAATGCTCTACCATCCATAATACCAAATAAGGTCACATCTTGTAAATCTTTACAAGGTTAATGAAGTCTCAATCACATACCAATTATTTGTTATAGAATGTAATAGTAAAAGATAACATCAAATTATCATGGTTATTCCTGGCCTAGTAGAGTCTAATTTGATTTAGAACTAAAATTCAGATCCCCTAGCATATAGTAGAAATTGAGCAGCAAATTGCAACATAGAAAGTTTCTTGTAATTATGATCAACCAAAAGATTTTTGTTGAATTTGGTTTCACTACTTTGAAGCAACCACCACTTGTTCATCATCATCATCAGTTCCAAAGTACCGATCTCCAAATTCGCCCATACCTGGTATGACACGGAAATCTTCGTTCAAACCAATCTCTATCTCAGATGTCACTATTTTAATTCTCGGGAAACTTTTGCACACCACATGAACACCTTTAGGAGCCTGCAAATGATGATAAGATCATAAACATAACCAATCAAGAGAACACAAGAAAACAGAAAGAACGGAGAGAATAACAATCACACTTCAAAGTAGATGAGGAAAAGATGCATAGAGGAACTAAGGCATTAGTAACTTACAGAGATGAGATTAAGAAATATAATGTTGGATTCTGGTACACCCTTTCTTATGAGTAAAGAAATTGCATGAACAGCCGAATTACCTACAAATTGAAATTTTCTATGGCTAATCAAAAAGAGTTACGACAGAAACTCTAGCGGAATGCAGAACAAAAATTTGCTTATATATTTACATAGTTCGGCCAATGAGACTAAAACAAGTATGGAGCAAATGAATTGAATTTATATTGATGAGACTAGTTTTGGACCAGCTTGTCTGTGGTTTTCATTTGAATCGGTTTGGATATAAACACTCATAATCGCAACAAAACTAAGATATTAACAAAAATCAACAAACAAATATAAAACTTCTAATTATAGGCTACTTATTCTCTTCGCAACATCCAAGAGAAAAAAAGGAGACTGTCGCAAACCTGTGCCGAGAATAGGGTCCAACAGTAACACATGCCTTTCTGAGATGTCATTTGGCAATTTCTCATATATTAGCTATTCATTTGATCAAAAAAGATAAAAAAGTTAGTAGCCAAAAAAATGAGAAATGAAATAGAGATATGTACCAGAGCATCATATACAGATACAGATGGACAAACCTGTTCTCCATTGTCGCCTTCTCTGTGGATCAGAATTTTCCCAATCTTAATACCTTTACAGCATGCTCTTAAGGCATTCTCCATACTTTCCCCACTGAAATTAGAGGAATATCAATATAACAACAACAGAAAGTGCTTTTATATATTATAAAGTGATTTTCATTATAGAAGTAAACAAAAATCCAACACAAAAACTTCAACTTTTCTTAAAAATATCTAAACTATTGAATACCAACTTTTAAAACAAATTATTCAATACATGGAAGCAAGGATTCTAGAAAACATTTAATCAAATGCCCGTGTAACTCAGATTTCCGAAAACATTTAATACCTTCTGATGACAGAGACACCACACAACCTTTTGCAAAAATCCACACCAGTGTATACAGACCCTGCATTTGAGGAAAGCGTGAATAGGAAAACAACAAAGCATATTTAAAAGCAAATAATACAAAGGTTATTTGAAAATCAAGCATGAAAAGGAAAAGATTACCGGTGGGAGTGATTACTTGCTTTTCTGTAAATGGAAGATGTCCTAAACCATGTTCTACGACCTGGTCAAGTGCATAACTAAAGAAAATACCAAATCACCACCAAACTTGGAAAGCAATGATGAAAGGTGTTTACTTACCAAACGAATCAAACGATCAGAATAAAATACAAAATCATGCTTCGTTATCTGAGCATCACGTATCAGTGTATGCATGCCACGTATCTGCATAGCAGCAATTATCACGACAATTCAAATTTTATAACAAAAATCAAAGCGTGGAACACTGCGAGATTATTTGAGAAGGTTACTTCGTAAATTGCAAGAAAAGGGTACCTGAAAAGTCGAATGAATGACATATAAATTCGGATATATTTTACACAGGTCATGCTGACCAAGCTTTGTACGGATATGCTGAACAATCAAATCAATAGCCACATGATTATCTCCACCACGAGGTATGATTATATCAGCATACTTTTTTGTTGGAAGAATAAAGTCATCAAAAGCTGGCTTCACAAATTTTGAATACTGCAACAAGTGTAACATAAGAATCAGCTACCAAAATTCATTTAATTGAAGTTATTGACCGTCAAAATCAGATGAAGAATGCACTAACTTGATCAAGATCAATCCTTAATAATATAATTCCTCAAAAATTGAATAACTATGCATAGCTTTCATTATTAAGGAATTTAAATAGAGCCAATCATGAAATTAAAATTTTCTTTCCCAAGTTTTGCAAATAATAATCAATATTGGAAAAGAAAAAATGCAACATAAAATAGAAAAGTACTTATCGTAGTGCAAAACGGTGTGGTTTTAAATTGCTACCTGATCAAGAATTACTCCAATGTCCCGATCCTTCTCGCTGGTGTCACGCCTAATCCTTCTTGCCAAACGAACATCAGCATCTGCACTGAACATTTGAAAATGTAAAGTGACGTCTCAATTTGGTATTTCAACAATGGCAAGGAAAATCTACCGGATTGGAAAATAACTAGAAGGTACACAAGCAAAAGTTCAATAATATTATATAAGGAATCAACAAATACAACAAAGCTAGAGCGTCAAAATATTGTGGTTTATGAGGACACCAAATTCCACGAGATGAATAAAATTATGCTAACAAAAGATTCCAAATAAATTGACAAATGATATGTGAAACATACAATATGATAAATTTTTGAGTTAATGGAAATAAAAGGACCTGTATCAACAAATATCTTCATATTCATCAACTCTCTAACACGTGGATCATGGAAAACAAGAATGCCTTCCAAAATTATAACATCTGAAGGGTTCACCTGAAGAGAAATCATAGTGACATGAGCTTCGTCGCAAAACTGAGTCTAAATATGCAGTTAGATTATAATATCATATATACTGTATACATGAGATATGCACTAAAAAAGAAAGGTACCTTTTGCATGATATTTACTATTTAATATTGCTAAAACAAAACATAAGGTTCAAAAGATATACCCTTCTTAATGTGTCAGTTTTGTAACTCTTAAAATCATACTTCGGAATATCTACAGCTTCACCGTGCTTCAATTTGTCCATAACACAAAGCAATTCCTCGGTATCAAAAGCATCTGATGATAAACCATAACAGGTAAACAAAAACATTCACATAGTCAATTTTCAGATATTATCATTCACCAATATAAAGCCTCGACGAATGAATTCATAGTTTGTTTTCTTCTACATTGACTAGAAAAGCATCCAAGTTAAAAATAACATAACTTTTCATCATTTACAGTTTATTAATATCAAAAGATACTCACTAATAATGCCTTTTCAGACTAAGAAATGTAATTGTACTAACCAGGATGGTCAAAGTTGTAATCTTGTACCCTTGATCGTTCCTCCTCGCTCAAGTTATTGTAAAAAGAATCCTGTCATATGTTAAATAGTTAATTTATCAGACCAATGCATCAATACAAACACAATAAGAAAGGTTTTAACCGAAATTCAGAAACACGACTCCAAAAAAAACAAGACAAAAGAAGGAGGGAGTGTTCAATATAAGTACAACAAGTCTTGATATTTCTCAATTTGACCACTATGTATGAATAGAAAGAATTCAATACCTGATTAACAAGCACCACTCGCTGGTCATGAAGCTGCTGAACAATCATATCACAAACTGTTTTTTTGCCGGATGCTGCACCCCCAGCAACACCTGCAAAAATAGATAAATAAATTAGAATCGCCAAGATAAAAGGAAGAAGTTGTAAAACTTGAAAATGATGTATCCAAACAGACCAAACTTAGGATTTACTAACAGGAATGTTAAATGAAACGATATTATGATGTTAGAACTGATACCTGCATATTAAAATTCTAAGTATTTAAATTCCGTGTAAATTTATAACTACACAAATAAGACAATGTGCTTTCTTTTCACAGAAAACATGAATTCTGGCTTGTTTATGTCACTTTTCTTTCAATGGAAAGTGTTTTAATGTCAAGAAGTTGTATTATTTCAATTGTGTTAATGTCTCGTGTGAACTATATTTGGAAAGACAGAGATCAGAGACAGTGATATTTTCTCCGGCATAACAGACCAGAACCTTACACGAACTAGAATTTTATTACAAAGAATTAGGGAATAATACTCTGATTATAGAGCAACAATGTAAAACCTCATGGGCAAGTAAAATCCCTTCCCTAAGTCCCCAATTCTCTTGAATGACTAGCTATTTTTACCTTTCCTCTCTTCTGTATTTATATACACTGACCCTACCTACCTTATCAGTCTACTAAATTACCGATTTGCAACTAACTAATTAATGGTGTTATTGAACAGAACCCAAACCATTTATGGTCTCTAGCACCTCTCAGTTCCTACTAGCAGCAAAACCATCAAGATTGTGCAGACACAAGAAACACAACGCAAAGTCCGGCCACTACAAATGGACACAAATATGAAGTTGCCGATGAATTCACGACTAATTTGGAAACTTGCCATAAGAAAACACACCTATGACAAAAGGTTGATTGTACATGTCAGTTTCTGAAGTTGTTGGTTGTTCTATGCTAGATTCTCTTTGCTCAAAACCATCCGTGTGAAATCCAGAAAAATGAACTTCAGATGAAGATTCCATTAAATCAACAGCTGACTTAGCACCACCCATTAGCAAATACCTGGATGGGGAAAAAAAGGGGTTAAAAATAACAGTTACAGAAATATGATAAAATAATTATGGATATGGAGGGTTTATGCAGGACCTTGCAGGCTACAACAGTCTAAAAGCATTCAAATCACAGCTTGCAAATATATCTTTAATCGGATGAAGTCAAAACATTTATTTTATTCAAATATTATAAAAGACTAAGAATATTCTTATGAAGATCAACGCATGCATTGACTACTACAATGGTTTCCCAAACCTATCGGAAACATTTATTTCCTCAAATATCCCAAAATTAAACCCTATAATTAAACTAATAACTAAAGTTCATCAGGTTAAACAATAATTCATACTCCAATTTCATTTTCCTTTATATATAAAATACATAAAAGGGTAAACAATTAGAGCAGATATCATTTTTCAAGAAGAACCATCAAACAATTATACTGAAACTTTCCATAGGCCATAGTTTTTATTATTTCATGACAACTTTCAACAGAGTTGAACCCAAAATGAGTCGAACCTCTCATAGACAAAAAATCAAACAGCTTCAAAGCAAGGAGAAGTTCACTACAATTTAACTTGCAACCAAAATAAAAAACAAAGAAACTAAATTCATGCTCACCCATTTCATCCCTGTAAGTAACTACATCCAATTACCAAACAATCAAATGGGTTTTCCACAACTAAATCTAGATCCAACTAAAAAAAAAAAAAAAACAAGCAAATGCACAGAAAAAGATGGTTGAAGCAAGTAGTAAAATGCTGAGTCTAAAAAGTACCTTGTTGTGAGCACAAGAAATAGGGTGTGAGAGAGAAAGTTGCACAGAAATTGAAGTGGGTGAGAGTTTTCAATCAAAGTTGGAGTCTTTGTAGTTCATATGTCAACAGAACATTCAACATGTGTAGACCCTTTTTTCGTTTGGTTTTTTCGCCACCTCTTTCTAATTATAGAACTTTAATTAGAGGTAGCAATTATATAAATATTTACAAACACCCATTAAATATAATCTTATATCAAGGACTTGAATTCATACACGACTTCTTTATAATTGAGTTAATCTACTTTAATTAACTAAATATTTCTAATTTGTATGTTTTTTATATTAATTTTCTATATTTTAAAAATACTTAAATAAATTAGTATATTAATTAAGCTAGTAGTATAAATTTTTTGAAAATGAAACACCGTCAGTGTCTCTGGACCTGTAACAGTGTGTGGCTGCTTCAAATTTGATCAAAATTCTTTTCAATCCACCGTGGCGGTGAATCGGATGTAGGGCCCACTTCATTTAATTCTTAACTCTACATCATGTCCTTTTAGCAATTTTGTTCTAGTTATGGGTTCTCATAAAAGTTTTGATGCGTGTTTTATTAATATTATTACTAGTACTTTTCCATGTTTCTTTGTATTGAAATGGATTTCATATGGTGTTGTAGTTGGGTTAGGGATGTCAACGGAAGAGAGTGTTATAAATAATCCGACTTCGTTATGTGATTATTTTTTTAAAAGGAGAAAAACATTTTTGTATTATTCTTATTGAATAAAATACACTCTTGGTCCTTATATAGACCTAATGACTTTTACAATTCTCAAAAGATAACTGTTACTAATAAAACTATCATAACTTATCAACTTTTGTCCTTCCAAATTATATTGGCTCTTAATCTTCCTACTACCATATTTAATATGAAACTTATTACTAATGACATTTAAAGTTTACTCAACAAAACTCCTCTGTAAACTTAAATGTTTCTTCCATCCAGCATTCCTGTCATCTTCTTGCCTCTGTCGAAGATCTCTTTTGATAGTGGTTTTGTGAAAATATCCGCTGCTTGGTTTTTGCTTGCTACATGCCTTAATTCGACACTTCCCTCCTTCACATGTTCACGAATGAAGTGAAATCGAATATCAATGTGTTTGCTTCGTTCATGATTCACTAGATTCTTTGCCAATTCGATAGTTGATTTATTGTCCACTTGTATTATTGTTGGACTTTCCTGTTTTAGCTCCATCTTGCTTATCAACCTTCTGAGCCATACTGCATGACAGACGCACCAGGATGCTGCCACATATTCAGCTTCACACGTCAAAAGTGTTACTATATGTTACTTCTTCGATAGCCAAGTAAATGTTGTGTTTCCCATGAAAAACACATATCCAGAGGTGCTCTTTCGATCGTCTATGTCTCCGCACCAGTCACTGTCAGAATAACCAACTAACTTGTAGTCTTCTATTTTTGAATAAAGCATTCTCAGTAATATTGTTCCTTGGATGTATCTTAAAATTTGTTTCAGTGCCTTCCAATGTGTGTGTACTGGCTCCTCCATGAATCGACTTAGCACGCCAACACTTAGTGAAATGTATGGCCTTGTGCATGTGAGATATCGAAGGCTACCTACCAAGCTTCGATATTTGCTTCCTTCAACCCGTTCTCCTCCATCAAACTTTGACAGTTTTGTACCTGGTTCCATTGGCGTCGAAGTTGGATTGCAATTCTTCATTTTATATTTTTCTAGGATTTCTTTTGCATATTTTTCTTGTGAGATAAAAATTCCAACTTCTTCTTGTCGAACCTCCAGACCAAGAAAGAATCTCATCAGACCTAAGTCTGTCATTTCGAATTCGCTTGTCATTGTGCTCTTAAAATCTTCGATCATCTGAACATCACTGCCTAGAAAGATAAGATCATCAACATAGAGAGCAACAAGTAATAAATTACTTCCATTTTTCCTCACATAGAGGGCGGGTTCATAAGGACATTGCTCGAACCCATTCTCTTTGAAATATGTGTCAATACGTGTGTTCCATGCCCTAGGTGCTTGCTTCAGCCCATACAACGATTTCTTCAGTTTCAACACCTTCTTCTCTTCTCCAATTCTCATATATCCAAGTGGTTGTTCGACATAGATTTATTCTTTGATCACACCATTCAAAAATATTGTCTTGACATTTATTTGAAATATTGGCCATTTGAATTGAGCAGCTTGAGAAATGAGTAATCGAATTGTCTCCATTCTTGCAACAGGCGCAAACACTTCATCATAGTCAATTCCTGCTTTCTGTTTGTATCCCTTCGCAACCAGTCGTGCTTTGAATCTTTCGATTTCTCCTTGAGCATTCATCTTTTTCTTGAATACCCACTTTACACCAATAGGTTAACTACCTTTTGGAAATTCAACTAGCTCCCAAATATTGTTGCGTTCGATTGCTCTAATCTCTTCGTCCATGGCATTTTTCCACTTCTTTTCTCGTAACGCTTCTTCGACACTGATGTTTTCAGCATCTGCCAGAAGACACACAAGATGCACCTCACTTGTTGAATCATACAAATCTTGCAAACTTCTCATTTTGGGTTGTAGAGGTTCATCTTCATCTTCAGTTTCTTCATGTTCTGTTGGAATACCTGTTGGTACAGCTGCAGTTGTTTCTTCGACTGCCTCAATAACCTATGTCGAATTGTTCCAGTCCCACTTGCTTGCTTCGTTCATTTGAACGTCTCTACTCACGATCACTTTCTTACTTATGGGATCGAAGAGCTTGTACCCTTTCGTCTTCTCATCATATCCAATGAATATGTACTTCTGACTTTTGTCTTCAAGCTTTGTTCTTCGTTGATTTGGTACATGTGCATAAGCTATACTACCAAATACCTTGAGATGAGAAATTGTTGGCTTCTGTCCACTCCATGCTTCTTGTGGTGTTTTGTCTTCTAACTTCGAATGTGGACATCTATTCTGAATATAAACATCACATTGTACTGCTTCTGCCCAGAATTCTTTTGACATGTTCTTGCTTTTTAGCATTGATCGAATCATGTCAAGAATAGTTCGATTCTTCCTTTCAGCCACACCATTTTGTTGAGGTGAATATGGTGCAGTTAGGAATCTCCTTATGCCTTGTTCTTCACAGTACTTCACAAAGGCCATTGAAGTATACTCACCTCCTCTGTCAGATCGAATTGCTTTGATGTGTCTGTTTGTTGCCTTCTCCACCATTACTTTGAACTTTTTGAACACTTCTAATGCTTCAGATTTTTCTTTCAGGAAGTAAACCCAGGTTTTTCTTAAGAAGTCATCAATAAAGGAAATGAAGTACCTTTTTCCACTGAAGGATTCTGGAGTGGTTGGCCCATATATGTTAGTATGTATCAATTCGAGAATATTTTTAGCTTGATACTATGTGTTGCACCCCAAAATTTGCCCTCTCATTTCACAAGGGATCACCCTGGATCCCAGGTTTGCTTCTATCAAGTTTCCAAGCCTTGAACTACAAATTTTCCAAGAAAATCACTCATAAGGGCAAAATGGTCATTTGCATATTGAAAAGTCAAAACTTTGACTTTTGGATAAAAAATCAAGCTTCAAGAATCATATTTCATCAAGACACGTTGAAATATGAAGTTTTGTTTCACCAAAATCCAAGAGGTCAAAATTCTAAATACTTAGAATTTTTCTAAGTGTTTAAGAAAATATGACAAAATTCAGAACCTCTGACTAGGTTATCACCATAACGCTCAGCAAATTCTGGATATTCTCAAAACAGAGTTTGGTCAAAACTTCTGGGCAAGTTTTCACAAAAGCTCAGTCAGAGTTTTCCAGGGTAATTCAAAGAAGGCTAGGGAGCGTGATGCAAGCTTTCTAGAAAGTTTGAAAGCTCCTTCAGAACATGCTGGAGCCAGAAGATAAGAGGATCAGAAGATGGGATGCTACGCTGAAGCAGAACTTCTGATCCAGAACAAAGCCTTGGTGTAGAGTTTCACGTTGCAGGATTTCTGGTTGTGATAAGTCTCATCATCATTTAATGCTCACAACCACCTTCTGAGTCTTTATCCAAAGGATCTTCACCATGTGTACCTCTACTGTCTTGGGATAGCAACTTTGCTTTTGCTTTTCCTTAATTCCTGCTGACAGCCACCATGCTTGCTTCAAAGACAAGGCAGCGCTTCAACACATGAAAGCTATTTTCAACGCTTTGGTCAGAACTTGACCAAATCCCAAAG